TATATTATACGATGAAAAAAATATTTATTTAACATATTTTTTAGCTATTTAAAAAAATCTAAGTAACTAAGTTTCATTATGCAGTAAAAACTTAAATTTATAAAATTTAATAATGCAATGAAAATTAATAAATTTTATTACATATTAAAAATTTGAAAATACATGTATCAAAAAAAAATTTTTGTTGTATCAAAAATTAGTTTTTTGACAAATATAAATGTTTAAATAACTTTTCTGTTAATGAGAGGTATTTTATATTATCAACCAAGTCTTCGTCATTTTGGCCCCACAATGTCCAGATCTCCCTTAGAACAAGGCAGAATATATTCTCCCGTCTGTGGGTCAAGCTTCACAATTATTAATACATATTTTATACTTAAATAAGCATAGATTTTGGGATGTACTCCTCTAATTCTATTTATAATACACTTCTAACATATTTCACATGGATAAAAAAAACTCTTAAATTGCATTAACTTTTCATTAAAATATACTAACTTTTCAATTTTATCCCTATTTAATATATACACATTTCAAAAAATACTATTTACACTATAATAAATAAAAGATAATATGGTACATTCATGGTAAAAATTTAATGAAGTGATTTATAAATATGACCAAAAAAAACTTATCTTTCTGTCTTATAAATAGGACTAGAAGAGTATTTAGTTAGATTTATATATATAATGAAGTTTTATATTTTTTTCCTCTCATTAATTAAAAAAATGAGATGAAAAAAATAATCTTACTATAAAATCTGCCCATATGTATCATTTCTGGTTATTGTTTTCTTGCTTTGGAGATATGCACGGGCATTTAAAAAATGGACAGTACAGAAAGACACTCACTTCCTCCATGTTTGACAGAAGTACATTTGGGGATTAATGAGTAAGATTTATTTTGCAGCAGCCTTCTCTATCTACATTTAAAAATCAAGATATTTTTCCATCACAAATTCACAATAGCGTATAAAAGTAGCCAAATTTAAATGAAAAATAAGTTGAAATGGGCGAAAGTAACTGTAACTAATAGTAAAAAAAAAATCGTTTCAAATTAATTAAACACTATACATAATAAACATAAGGAACAATGATCGCATCAACTATGGTGATAGTTAATTTAGTAGGTTAGAAATAATGATAAAATATCCAAATAGATGAATATAAAAGGCGGAAAAAATGAGTAAATAAAAGAGTTAAAAAACCAGGTGCACAAAATAAAATAAAAAGGCTATGAATAGAAATAAATCATAACGGGGGAAATGAAAATAACTGACATGCCTTTACCTGATTATTTTTAACACGCTTTTTTTTTTTGCATAACTCATGCATTCATCATATTTCTTATAATAATTCGCATTCATAACTTTTTTCTTGCCTGATGAATTCACAACTTCACACTCAATAAAATCCTAAAGAAAGATGCTTGGGAAGAGCTGGGCTATAACCCTGACACTTTTTCTTTTCTCATCGCTCTTTAAGCTATTTTAATTACTCCATACCTTTATGTTTTTGATACAGTAAAACTTATTTAAAAAGTTATTGAATAATATTAAAATACAGTATAGAAAAAACATAAAATAAAATACAGTAAATTATGTATACAAAAATCATTAAGCATGATCAACATCAATCTGTCTGATACATTCAATAAAAAATATATAAGATATGTAATAAAAAAAAATATCAAATATAAAATTTATAAAAAGTTATTTTATTTGTAAGTTGTTTGTAATCGATGATGCGAAGACCCGGTTTCCCGCTCGATCCTAATCCTATTTCCACTTGCATAACAATGACATAAATGGGCCGCATCGTCTTAAAGGTTATTTGAGTAGAAACAAAACTATACTTTTTTTTTCTTTTAGCTAAATTTAAAATCATAATTTTAAAAGTACTTTTGTGGTATACGAAATAGATATATAGAAGAATTTATCTCGATTTATAAACAAATACTTTTAAAAAGTGATTTTAGGGTTACTCAAACACCACCTTAGACAATAGAAATAGAGATGCGCTTAATAACTAATAGGTTTTGAAGTCAGCGAAGAAGCTTCTTTTTTCATAAACATCAAGGGAAAAAAAAAAGCAGTAAGAATTGCCTCTAATTAAAAAGTATTTATACCTAAAAAAGTTGAAATAAAAAATATTTAGGCACAAATTTTTAGGAAAGCAAACGTTTCAAGTTATGTTATATATATTAGAAAAATCGACACGACAACATATACAAATTATAGATAAAGCAGGCAGTATGAAATCCTTTTTTCTGTCAACTGTCAACTTTGGGGTTATGAAAAATTTAAAAAATGGAGTTATAAAATTTTAACCAAAAACACATTTTTTGAACCAATTGATAGAGAAAATATGTAAGATAAAAGAATAAAAAATAATTAAAAACTTTTAATCTTACTTTATCAATTTTTTAAATAGAGATCATTAAAATTTTTTTCCCTTCTCAACTTCCCTCCCCTTTCCTCATACCAAATAGAACCGTGAGTTGTGCAGATTTTAATAATTTCATCGAATCTCTCTTGCTGTTGTATCAGTGTCAAACTTATTCTTCTTTTTTTTAAAACCATTTTTTTAAATTTTTAGCTATTTTTTCAGTTATATAAAGTTATAAACTACGAAATATATTTAGAAAAATCAAACTAATTTTTATCACAGAAAAACTAATTTTTTAAACTTAGAATGGCTTCATGAAGTTATGTACATTTATAGTGATGGTTATTTATTTCTGGGAAATATCCTCAAAGAACTTCATTAAAACATCATTTCTTGAGAGTATTAATTATTTTACAAAAATGTCATTTTTTTTATGACTATCATGATCTTTACTATATAAGATTCTGTCTATTTATTCTCAGATATAATAAATAATAAATGAGGGGGAGAAAAAATCACAAAAATAACAATCATCTTAATGAGCATCCAAACTAATTTCTCATTGATTCAAATTCAGACCTAAATATCCTACGTTTAGGGGAATTTTATTATTGATCATTTATCCCAATCATTTATCTCGAAACACATGGCAAGGAATTTTATTATAGTGATAATTAATTATCAAAATGTACAAAGCACTACTAAGGACTTGTTTGGTATGAAGGAAATGGAAGGGAAGGGAGGGAAAATTTTTTTAAGATTTAAAAAATTAAAGAATTAGGGTTTTAAAATTTTAATAAAGAGAGGATGTAATATAAAAAAGTAATAAGAATTAATTAAAAGCTTCTAACTCCCTTTTTATTTTTCAAAATTGAGCTTATTAAATTTTTTCTCTCATTTCTTTTGTTGTTTTTTAATATTAAACGGACCCTAAATATATACAGATCATATTATTAAAACTATTAACTAGGTTTGTACATCTCGACCACTTTTAGTTTTGCTAAAACTAAATGCAAGGCTTTTTAGCACAAGGAACAAGGCAACCATACTACTAGCATCAAGCTATCTATTCCCTGTTAGTACACAATTTGATATGAAATTCTTGTAATGAACGTAATTATAAGCAAGGTACTACCTCTGTTTCTAAATATAATATTTAGTTTGCAGTACAAATGATATGACATAGTATATTTCAACGCATAATATAAATTTGTCCAACAAACCACCATTTCATGGCACATCAGTTCATCCTAATGCCAAATCGAAGGAGTACTAGATCCTGCAAGAAACAGAGTAGCATGCTAAGAGAATTCCATAAATATGATTACTTGATCATTGTTATCCTAGTTTTCCCATAATAAATTAGTCAAGAGCCTAAAATATCATACTCAAAAAATATTTATACAATTAAGAATTGAGATTTTTACTTGGACATCATTGCTAGTGAAAATGTTTGTCTACATTGACTCTGACTCTTACTATTTCATTGTCACGTGGTAATTTACAAATAAGAACATAATGAATAAGAGAAGTTAAACGTTACATTTTGACTAGTCTCTCCTGATAAAGCACCTGCCACATAAATTGCCACCATGACATGGACTTTGTTTGTCACTCTACTTAGAAACCTACAATAGGTTTGTCTCCAAGTACGGTTGAAGAGCAGGGGCCCTACAAACGCCCAAAATCCAACAAAAAATCCCAATCCCATGCTCAAATATAATTCTTGAGAGAATAGTGAGTCATCTTCTTCATGTGAAAATGTTTTATCTTCTGGGCACTTTTTGCCAAGCGGCAATCCACAAAGATCAAAATTTCCTTCATAACATGAGACATTAAAACTCTGTAATTGTGTTCCTATTGGGATTTTTTCATGGAGAGTGTTGTTTGACAAATCTAACACAATGAGGTGATCAATATGAGCAAGACTTGGAGGAATTGGCCCTGATAAATTATTTTTCAACAAATCAAGAAATTCAAGTGATTTTAGATTTCCAATCTCCTTGGGTATTTTTCCACTCCATTTGTTACTTGAGAAATCCAAGGAAACCAATCCCAACAAAGACACAAGTTCTCCTGGTATTTAAGTATTTTTCCTGATAGAGCATTGCTAGAGAGATTAATGCTTTTAAGAAGGAATCTTGGCTTCATAAACATGTAATCCTCACCTTTCCACATCAATGTTATATAGAATTCCAAACTATCAAAGATAATATAATACCATGTTACATTGATGGTGTACTAGTGATAGCTCTTACTTAAGTTGATGTGCTCTTGTGCCATAATAGTAAAATTTTGAAGGCAAGATGGAATTTCATTAGAGAAGTTATTATGAGAGAGACCTAGGAGTCAAAGTCAAGTGGCAAAGATGCACAGGTAGATTTCCATATAAATGATTCATCCATAAGCTTAGAATTTCCAACTGTTCAAGGCTTATCCCAAATGAAGGTACTAGTCCTGACAACTTGAGGCGGAGACATATTATCTTCTGGGCACATTTTGTTGAGTGGCAATCCGTAAAGATCAAGGATTCCTTCATAAGACGAGGCATTAAAGCTCCGCAATTGTTTTCCATTTGGGATATTTCCAGAGAGATGATTGTGTCACAATAACCTCAACAACAGCGGCAATATGCCACACTCCGCACCAACAGCTATTGTTCTTAACCCTGACAATGATTGTACTTCTCTAGGAACATTCTCCCTATCTCCATGACCTAGGACACTAAATGTGAAGAGTTGCCCAGTTGAAGTTGTCAAGGCTGTGTGCCATGTACCACAAGTGACAAAAGCAACATAAGTTCCCCTAGTAGACCTGAAATTCGTTTCAGTATTCAATGACTTGCGTCAGTGCCAGGACCAAGAAGTCCGGCATTACGAGTTCCATCACACCAAGTATATAGTTCTCCTGCCACTGTAACCGCGCAGCTGTGAAACTCCCCACAAGCAACAAAATCAACAGTTGTAGAAGCTAAACTACACTAGACTCCAGTGGCCCAGGCAAAAGCACATCTACCCTTGGATTGAACTGACTGAAATTTTTATCTACACCAACTCCCCTAACATTCTCAGCAGTAACCTCCCCCCATATGTATACATTACCCAGAGCATCACAGTCATCTGGTGCGGATCCATGACTTGATGTGCTGGGGGCACTCGAAACACTAACTCGAATGGCATCTGAACCAAATCCTCTTGCTTGCATATTTGAAGGGTCTAATGGTGAATTCGATCTTTCAAAATTGACAGACTTCAACAGTCCAAAGGGCTTTGAAGCAGTCTTATTATGAAAATTCACAGAAGCATCAGGAGATTTAATATCTAGTGTACTGACTGAACTTTTACTTAGACAACTTGATGTCAAGTCTCTGTTATCCTGAAAGTAATTCAGCCAGAAAGAATTATATATAGGTTACCATCTATTATAACATGGAAGCAATAGGCAGACTAATGCCACCAGTAGAAATACATGTAATTTGGTAAGCTTTTAATCACAAAAATTCATATCACTGTAGAAAAGATAAAAGAGACTAATCAAAACAATCAATTGCTCATAAATCATGACAAAGAATTGCACGAGAAAGTGAATAGCACTTGGGTTGAGACAAACTGTCCTGTACATCCTTTCAGAGAATACCAGTTAAATCAGAATATGAAGACAGTATCTTAAAGGAAACAGTACATTCATCCAATCATCACAAAAGTAGTAAGTTCTCTCCCTTCGTCCATCTAAGACTTTAATCCCAGGGAAAATGGTGGAATACTCTATCATTTCCAAGAAAAAGATCTATCTTCTCCCCCAGCTTATAAGTCTTGGTAAAAGAGACGTGACACAAGTAGAATGATATTGAACTACACAAAGGTGGATTTACATCAAGATAGACGCCCCCATTACTCCACCTATCAATTTTTGACCGCCCACCTTGGCCAGAAGATATCAGAGCTTTGATGCCAGCAATCCACACTGCTGCCTCAACTTTATCCTCGCAAGTCTGTAAAGAGCTGAAAAAAATCTAGTAATGATACAAGTGGAGGAAATGGAAACTAGATAATGATGTAATCACACAAAGAATTTCAGAATTCATCACCAACCAAATCAAGGGACCACTTTCTGTTGTTATAAATAAGGGAAAAGAATAGATACTTCTTCTCAGGACTTAGACACCATTTAAAAACAGCCTGCCAGAAGATTGAGGAAGAGCAACCAAAGAATGACAAATGAATCTATGGAACAATTTATAAATATCACCTAGTAATAACAACACATGATGAGGCATTTGAATAATATAAGATAAAATTCCAGAGATCTCCCTGTTCTTTGTCCAGGAATAATTGTTAAGGCAGAAGAAAGATTCAATCTTCTTTCTCCACTGCTTGAAATCTAGATTAAAGATTATTCATCCTCTTGTTTTCAGATAGTTTAGTAAGTACAAAAGTAAAGAACTTAAACAAGTTTGATAATGCAAGAAACACAGAAAAGTTACAATGCAATAAGAATTCAAGAGTCCATCAATATAACCACTGTTGCATTCCTAAGAGTCAGTCTCAAGATCTATGTTTAAGCTGGTTTGAACCCTTGCTAATTGAACCAAGTGGTGCTGGTCAAAAAAATTGAACTAAGTGGTCATCGGTAAAATAGGGACATGATTTGCAATACTACTTACATCAAAGTGACAACACCCAAAAAGATATCCCTTAAATATCATCCATGGTATAATTACGACATTCATAAACATATCCCCCGCCCAAAAAAATCAAAGAAAATCCAATGAGAGGCCACAATCTATACACAAACAAAAACTCACCTCACACCACATCACTCATCACTATCAAAAAGCACAAAAGAGTAGCTATCTTGATTATTGTCCAAGAAGGCACTCAATTAAGTAGAACATTTGAGTATTCAATAACAAGATCTTAACATGAGCTTTCAGTTATGAGCCAGCTTACATTGGAAAGCCTGAACGGATAAAACTTGGGCTTTCCTTTCCGACCATATTTAAGCAGTTGGGCACCCTTTTTAAAAGGAATCAATGCCTGAAGAAAGCAGAAGTAACAGGTAATGACAGCAAAATAGTCTACAAGATATTGAAAGATGCAATTGTTGTGGGTTTATCAAAGATGCTAAGAGTAATCACACAAAAGAACTATCCAATTGACAGTCGAGTGAATATACAGTTTTTTTTTTGTAGAAAAGGATAATCGGAGAAATTTTATCATTAGAAAATGGCATCCAAAGACATCTATTCTTTTAAAGAATAAGCCATTAACAATTTAGAACCAAAGTTACTCACAATACATGCTGAAGCATCCTATTGGAACACAAATAGTCAGTCCCATCATATCTTTTGAGACTCCTCATGTTCAATAGCAGTGATAAAGCATGAGATCATTCAATCAAACCTTCTCATTCAAAAGGGTGCAGACCTTCATTATAAATAGAACTGCTTGAAAGTTTACTGATCATCCATTAAAAAAAAAATCAATATGTGCTCCCCCATATTTTCATTTTAGCCTTTACTCTTCCGGTCTTTCGACTAGAGTTAGCGGCAATTCCAACTTCCCTCAGTATCCAAACAATGGAAGACACGCTGATCATAATATTTTTGGCCAGGGAACGTGCCTTCAACAAGAAACCCAATCACTATATTGTATTGAAACAAACCAAATAACAAATACTCCAAGCAAGCTGCAATATTCACAAGAACTAAAGCAAAAATTATAAAGCGTCACATAAAGTTTGTGACTCACACACATAGAGAGAGAAAGAGAGAGAAAGACCTGCTCTAAGTCACGGTGGGCATTCCCGTAACTAGCAAGATCTGCCAGTCCATGTGAAAGATTCACAGAAACGCCACCACCCTCTCCGATCGCTGGATGAAGCTCCGGTCATCATATGCAACAATTCCAGCCTCTTCCCTACGCAACCATCCACACCCAAACCTCACTCTTTCTTTCAAACAAAACCAGCTTCTTCTTCACTCTCAAGAATGCACGAAGCTCCGTTAGATCTATTCCTCCTCACAGAAACCACATGTCCAGAAACTCCATTGACAAAATCAAGTCAGAGTAGAAACTTCTTCAACACATGAACTGGGATGGACTAGAAAAGAAACCCGGTTCTTTGACAGGAAAGAAGCAGCATCTCGGACACACTCTGGTGGTCTACAGAAGAATGGAGGTTGCAAGAAAGTATTCCGGCGAGCAATGCAGGCTCCGGCGTCGGCCAACTGGCGAAGGGACTAAGCAGAAGACGAGACAGCAGACAGAGAATGAGAGTGTAGAAGTACAACCAGTCAAAGACGAGGACAGAGGAAAATATTAAAAAAAACAAGGGAGAATTAGAATAAAGTACCTGTAGAAAGAAATATTTATTAAAAATGACCATAAAAATTAGAATTACTTAAAAGGACCAAAATTTAAAATACTGGTCCTAAAATGCCAAATTATCTCTATCCCACCTCCATCTCTCTCCGTGATTTTTCCACCCTTGATGTGGTAGTGGTTGCTGCTTTCCTTCCCTACTATTTTACATTGTTAGGTATTTATTTTAAAATAATGTAGTTACATTTTTCCCACAAGTTTTTCAAAAAGTTAGAACTTCCCTAAGCTATATATACACAACTTTTTTCTTATTCATACTCAGAATTTGCAATTATTAATAACATTATTATTTCAAAATCTTCAAGTTTTCTTGTCGCAAACAATAACATTCAAAACCATTTGTTACTCACAGTCTGAAATCTAATATTTGATGATTTTTCAATTTTGTATAGAGTGAGACGTGACAGTTAATTGGAAAAGAAGAATAATTATGGGTGATTTAGTATTTTTAAAATTGTATTTTAATTTTTAGCCTTTTAAAATAATTATGCTTTTTAAGATCCTCTAAAATAATTATGATTTTTAAGATCCTCTAAAATAAATATTGCTTTTTCTTGGTCCTTGGTTCTAATTCTCCCAAAAAAAAAATAAATAAAGATGGAAAAGCAGAAACTAACCTGAGCCTGAGAGATGAAGTCATAGATAGAAGGGAGAAGGAAAATATAGGGCCTGGTTGTTTTTTGTTTTCTTATTCTCAAAATAATTTTATAAAATTGTTTTTAAGAGCAAGTTTTAGAAAAAAAATAAAAAAATTTGTTTGGAAAATAATTTTTAAAAATTCACATTTGAAAAGAATATAAAAAATTACACTTTGACAAGTAATAGTTATTACTGATAGTGATGAGTAGTAGGTAGTAGAGGAGAAGAAAAAAATATTTGTCCAATTTTTCAAAGCAAAAAATTAAAAACACAAAAATAAAAACAAGACAACATGTAAAAGTTATTTTGATTTTTCAGTTTTTAAAAACAGATTATTGTTTTTTTCTTTTTAAAATAATCAACTAAAAACAAATTGTTAAACAAGTTTTTTTGTCTTTTTGTTTTTAAAAATAAAAAATTGAACCAAACAAGCCTGTAATTTCTGTTGTCAGACTTCTACTTAATTTCCAATTTGATCTCGATAGTATGAATTTCTTTTCACATCTATCCCAGAGATGGAGTGAAAGACTAGGACGAGGACCGAATTCGTACTTTCGCTGAAAATGGTAAAAGATTTTCGAAACCCGGCGGTAGTTTGTTCTTAAAGTTTTTGAAAAACTAGAGTGTGTTTGGATGAAACCAAACCGTGGTTTGGAAAAGTGATTCTGGAGAATAGATTCTGGGGAAAATAGATTCTGTGAAGAATAGATTTTGTAAAAAAGTGATTCTGAGAAGTGAGAGTGTTTGGATAGTTGTTATCAGAAGCACTTTTTATATATACAAATTACTAAAAAAAAGACATAAGTTAATATGATAATTACAGAAAAAATAGATTTTATGATATATTTTAATTTGAAGGAATAAAATTGTTAATAATATGTTTTTTACCAACATAATTAATAATACATAAGATAATATAATTAATAAATAATTAATGTGTATATATATTTATAAATATAAGATTAAATATATTTATAAAAAAATATGTTTATAAAAAAAAAACAAGATACATATCATATAGGCCCTCATACTCTCCCTTTTTTCTCTAAAAGTAAAAAAATTTTGCTTTTTCCAAAACCATGGTTTTGGTTTTTGGAGGGGGTGTTTGGGTGATTTATTCCTCAAACCATGGTTTGGGGTGTCACCCAAACACACCCTTAAGTAAATGTTGGGGATGAAGCACGCAGGCGCGCAGGTGACAATGCAGGGAGGGCGGTTTTAGTAATTTGAGGGGAGCAGGTTAACGGTTTTAATAAAGAGAGAATTATGATGAGATTTTAAAGAATAAATTTAATTTTTAATGAATATTGTTATTCTTTATTCTTAAAATTTATCATGGCAAACTCTTCAATTTTTACTATACTTCAAGATAATTAAATTTTTTTCTTAAAAACTAATTGTAATTTTTCCATTTATATATAATATCTACTTAATTTCTTATTCATAATTAATTTTGGTTACAATTTAGAGAAAGTTAGTATCATTTCTATATTTAATCTTTTTTATGATTTAATTAAATATTTAAAAGAAGTAGTGATAAAAATATTACGTGTATTTATTATATTTTTTATAAGAGAGATTAACTAATTCGATTCTAATTCAATTCTTAAATTTTAAGTCTTTTCAACTCAATATCTATAATTTTACCTCCATATAATTCAAAGCATAGGTTAAGAGCGTGATTAGCAGCGTGCACACGCACATTGTGTAAGCTGTTACTAGAGTTATCCAATATTTCTAACAAAAAGA